GTGTTGAGCCCAATCAAGTGCAGCCAGCATCCAGGCTGGCCCCCAACAGCTGAGCATGTGGCAGGCTCCGCGTGCCCAGAGCAGCTGGGCGGAGACGATCCTAACCCAGCCCCAGCCCCAGCCCCAGCCCCAGCCCGCACCTACCATTGCCGAGCCCCGCGATGCCGGCGCCGAGCTGGGGGACCCTGCCTGCCCCTCCCCCGCGCTGCCATGATGACACAATGCACCACCCGTGACATCACCGGTGACCCAGCCGGCAGGGGAGAGGGGGCGGCTGCAGGGCAGACCCCAGAGGGCCCAGGGCTGCAGCCAGACGACCATGGACCCTCTCTGCCGATGCCACGGTGGAAAGGCCCGAAACCTAGGTTGGATCCCCCCCACCCTCCAGGCCTAGGCATAACAGAGCCAGGCAGGTGCTGCGCTCCTCCCCCCCATGCAGAGCCCCAGGACAGACCCCACTCGTCCTCCAGGACGATGGAGCAGCCCTGTTTCTTCCTTCCCCGCACCTGCACAGATGCCCAGCCGCCCACACATGGATCCCCCTGCCCAGGTCAGCGTCGTGCGACCCTCCCTCTCCACCCGAGACACTGCTTCATGCACACCCTTCAGCAGCATGCACAGCCCCCCCCCCAGCTGTCCAACCCCACAGGCCTGGCCAGCTGCTTTGCAGGGCTTCCCAACAGCTGCGGCGGCTGAGGATGGGAGGAGGCAGGCAAGAAGCCTCTTTGCCCCTGTCCTGGCTACGGAGGGGCATCTGCAGGCAGCCAGTCCTGCCTCGATCCCATGTCAGCGCTGCTAGACCCTACCCTGCAGGTAAGCCACTAAGATGTGGGCACGCTAGAAGGGAGGGACAGGCTGCAATGGGACCTAGACAGGTTACAGGGGTGGGCGGATGAGAACAGGATGGGGTTCAACACTGGCGAGTGCAAGGTGCTGCACGTGGGGAGGAAGAACCAGCAGCAGACCTACAGGCTGGGGAACTCCCTTCTCGTCAGCGCAGAGGCAGAAAAGGATCTTGGAGTCATTATTGATGCCACAATGAACATGGGCCGACAGTGTGGGGACCCGGTCAGGAAGGCCAACCGCACCTTGTCGTGCATCCACAGATGCATCTCAAGCAGGACCAGGGAGGTGATCCTCCCCCTCTATCGGGTGCTGGTCAGACCGCAGTTGGAGTACTGCGTCCAGTTCTGGGCGCCGCACTTCAGGAGGGATGTGGACAGCATGGAGAGGGTCCAGAGGAGGGCCACTTGCATGGTCAGAGGGCAGCAGGGCAGGCCCTACGAGGAGAGGCGACGGGACCTGAACCTGTTCAGCCTCCACAAGAGGAGGCTGAGGGGGACCACGTGGCTTGTTACAAACTAGCCGTAGGGGACCAGCAGGCATTGGGGGAGTCCCTGTTCCCCCGAGCACTACCAGGAGTGACAAGAAGTAACAATCACTAGCTGGCAGAAGGTAGATTCAGGCTGGATATCAGGAGGCGCGACTTCACTCTCAGGGCGGCTAGGATCTGGACCCAGCTTCCAAGAGAAGTGGTGCTGGCTCCTACCCTGGGGGACGAACATCTGGCTGGGGTCGTTTGACCCCAGTACTCTTTGCTGCCATGGCAGGGGGTCGGACTTGATGATCTGCTCAGGTCCCTTCCGGCCCGACCAACTATGAACCTATGAGCCCGGTGCTCTGGTACAGCAGCTCTAGGTCCGGGCAGGGCATCTGTTCAGGTCTACCTGAAAAGTGCTGGGGAAGGAATCGCAGCACGGCCGGGCCCTGCAGGGTCTCAGATCGCCCAGCCCCTGCTCCAGCCGCGTCCAAGCCCTCCCAGGCCTGTCCTGGTCTGATTTGGTCCTAGAGTTATGTAATAAACCAGTGATGAGGCCCACTGCCCAAGGTCCCCTGGTGCCCCTGGCCCAGCTCCAGGTAAAGCCGGGGGATGGAGGCTGTTGGTCCTGCTGCTGCTGGGGGTCAGGGAGGCTGCAGAGCCCAGGCTGAGGCCGTGTCCCTGCTGCAGAGGAAGGCAAAACCCACCAGTCCGGACCAGTCTGAGCAAGGGGAAAAATCCCTTCCTGCCCCCAGTGCAGCGTCAGGTTGAGCCTGAGCTCAGGGGCAAGACCCTCCAGCCAGGACCCTGCAAGGTTGGTGCCGGCAGTAGCATTGGCCCAGCCCAGCCCCATCCCCAATGCAGGCTGCAACACCCAGTGCCTCAGAGAGACAGAAACCCCCCCTGACCCCTGTAGCAACAGGAAGGGAGAGAGAGCAATCCCCTCCCAGCCCCCATGCAGCAGCCAGCAGAGCCCAGAGGCCTGGGAGACCCCAGACACCTCCGTGGTGCCCTGCAGCTTGGGGACAGCCAGCAGGATGCACCCATCACCCCCCATCGCTGCCCAGCCACAGCTGGCCTGTCTGTGCCCCCCCCCCAGAACCCATCCCGGCAGCTTTAACCTTCTCTCTCCTAACCAAGCCAGGTATGGAGCTGCAACTGATGCATCAATCCAGGCAGCAGATGCCCAGCAAGACCTGGCCCACAGCCCCACAACCACCTTGGTCAGTATGACAATGCTACAAAGCACCGAGGCTATGCAGTGAATGCGTCTAGGGTTGGAAATGCAAGCGCCAGCCGTTGCACCATCCTCGCGTGCAGCACAACCATGGGCACCGTGCCTCAGTCACACCGGCCAAGACAAGACACGAGGAACGACCCTTGCACACCGCAAAGTCCCAGCACCAAAGAAAGACGGAGGCAGCCATGGGGAGACGAGCTCCACATGGATTCACCCGCAGGCGGGCACCGGGCTCAGCTCACTGGTTTTTCTATGAGCTTGAAGCCCCTGCCCTGACCCCGAGCAGCGAGGTAACACTTCTGGGCAGCACGACCCCTGCAAGCTGTGCCGTGCTGCGCCGTCCCCCCGTGGGCCAGTGATTCGGAGGCTGGTGCTGTGATGCCCTCTCCTCTCCAGTGTGGGCCATGCCCCGTGCTCTTGCAAGCAAGAGCTAGCCGCTCTGGGAGCCCTGTGTCCACGGTGCTGGCTGCATGGCACCGCTTGGTCGAGGCTGCCATCCAGCCCTTCCGTTTTCCTTTCCATTCAGGCAGAAGCAGGGCAGGGCAAGGCAAGGTGGCACCTTAGAGACCGACTGGCTCCGCGAGGCAAGTTTTCGTATGCGGCAAGTTACTTTGTCAGGGCAGGTTTGGGGACGATGTCTGGTGTCGGGGGTGACTAGTTTTGCTAGGAGGTTGGAAAATGGATGCGTCTGGGCTGGTTTGGACAGGGCTGATCCTGCCACAGGCAGGGGTTGGACTAGACGTGACCTGGAGCTCCCTGCAGCCCCGTGGCTCTAGGATGCCACGAAGCCCCCTCTCAGCCGAGCTTTCCACTCCTTGGAGGGGGAGCCGGGCACGATGCAGCTGCCGAGCAGGGAGGTTTGCTTGTGGCCCATGAGTCTGAAGATGCTGCCGTCACCTGATGGCACAGCCTGTCGCTGGCTCAGGGCCCGGTGCCTCGCCCACTGGTGCCCAGATGGTTTTCCTTCCAGATGCCATTGCACAAAGAGCCTTAAAATGCAGAACCAGGGTCACATCACGTGGGGAAGGCTGAGCACCCGGGCACATGCAGCTGGACGCAGGAGGGTGCTGGTAAGCCGACGCAGCCGGCCTCGGGTGCAAGACTGCGACCCCGCACATCACTCGTTCCCAGGGCGGGGTGGGGAGACCAGCAGTGGATGGAGCTGGGAAGGCTGACACGTTTAATGCCATTTTGACTTCTGTCTTCCCAAAATAGGCCAGCTCTCAGAAGAGCAAGGCAGGGCACGCAGACAGGCTGGATGTTTTCAAGTCCATGGGCTGGGCAAGATGCACTGCAGAGCTGTCACGGGAGGGCCTGCGGCACTGGCCGAGCTGCTGGCTCTCCCCTCTGGGACCTTGCACAGATGGAAGGGCAAATATTGCGCCCACCTTCAGAAGAAGAGGGTGCGGGGAATACGGACCAGCAGGCTGGTCTTGATACCCAGAGAGATACTGAAGCAGGTCATCAAGGACTCTATTTATAGACACCTGGAGGAGAACACAGAGATGAGGAACAGCCAGCATGGATGTGCCAAGAGCAGGTCCTGCCCAACCCACCACATTTCCTTCCACGATAGGGATGGAGAAGAGCAGACATGATGTACCTGTACTGCGGCAAAGCATCTGACGCCATCTCCCATGAAACTCTTGTTGGCAAGCTCAGGAAACCCAGCCTAGACCACAGCACCGTAAGGCGTGCGCATGGCTGGGCCGAGTGCGACGCTCCAGGACCCATCATCCATGGCTCGACATCCCGGTGGGACGAGGCATCCAGTGGGGCTCTGGCATGGGCCATCTCATTTTATACCATTCCTGACGTGCGCCATCAGCCCGCCCCAGGCCATGAATGTGACGCCCATCCTCAAACTGCCAGTGAGGGAAAGACCCTGGCTTCCCCGCCCCCACCAGCCACGTCTCTCAGACAGTGAACATGGATGAGGAGATCCAGCATAGCATCCAGTGAAATTGCTTTGGCACATCTTTATTGAGGTGGACTAGACGACCGGTGGAAATCCCTTCCAGCCCTCCAGAAAGAAACCGAGATCCATGTCTACCATGCAGTCGTCAGCCCCACTCCTCTACGGATGCAAAGCGTGGGTGACCTGCTGTCGCCATCTCGAGAGCCTGGAGAGGTTTCACCAGACACGCCTCCGGAAAATCCTCCGTACCTATTGGGAAGCTCGCTGCACAAACACCAGCACCGTTGC